TTTGACTTTGAAATCTACGTTCTCGCGGGTGGAACTGCAAGCTGGATGGCTGGCTTGCCGGTTATTTTTGGCGGCAGCTCCTATTTTTACTTTGTGCATGCTTGAGTCGTGGGGGGGGGGGCTGTTCTTTTGCTGGCCTGGGGAATTTTGCATGTGGAAGAGGCCGGGGAGTACAGGAGGTTGTATAAATTAGTGAGTGTAATGAAGACATTTGTAATCACCTCAGAAGTTGCCACCTCACGAGGCTTACCATCAACGAGAGTGAACTTATACTTGCCAGAGCAGGGCACTTTAATCCTACCCAGGAACAGCTGACAAACATGACTATCCAGTCTGTTATTAGATCAGTTTCATTTTCAATTGGGTCTATCCTGCCAATATGAGATCAGTGGATAGATTCTATAAAAAAAACGAAGCCAATAGACAAATTTGGCTAACGTTGTTTACATCGTTGCTACCCAATTCACAGCTTTGGATAACTCACATGCCTAGTTACTATTGTTCTAGTTTACAGAAGCATGGACTGAATAGAGCAACAGTAACTAAAAAAAAAACCATAAAAACAAACAAAAAAAAACAAAAAAAACATAAAACATAAAAAAACATTAAACATTAAACACTAAACATTAAACTTATGTATTAAGAGTTAGTTACCTTTGTTCTATTTTATGCTTTAGTGATCTAGAACAATAGTAACTAGCAGGGACGCCGGAACGATAATAGGGCAAAGGGGGGCGGACGCACACCAAGGGCACCTTTACTGAAAAATTTTTTTTCACTGCAAAATTTTTTGGCGACCCGGCCCCCACCCCCCCCCCGGTCGCCAAAAAAATTTCGGTCAGTGTACCATTTTAGGTGTCATTTTAGGTGTTTCCGGACATACCAAAATTTTTCGTGAAGCCAAAAATTTTTCCGGATATCTTACATTTTCGCCATTTCTTCAAAATATTTTTCTAAATTCCAAAAATTTCCCAAAATTTTTATAAATATAAACTATAAATTACCTGAATCTCGTGATTTTCCTACAAAAAGCATCGTTGGAAATGTGATTTATCACGTATTATTTTACAACTAAAAGGGCACTTCTGCCCCCCCTCTGCCCCCCTAGCAAAAGGCAAGGGGGGCAGCCGCCCCTCCTGCCCCCCCCAGTTCCGGCGTCCCTGGACTAACTAGGCATGTGGGTTATATAAAGTTGTGAATTGGGTATAAAAAAACGTTACCCGAATTTGTCTAATCGAGCGAGACTTGGGTCAGTACATGTATTTTTATAAAAATAGCAACCCTTCGGCTAAACAGGATTCTGATTATCATATTGAGCGAGATCAAAATTAGGGGAGTTTCTGCAAAGTGCATTAAACCATATTACCTGTAGCACTATTTCATGACCTAAACATCGCACAGACTTATAATTATGTACGTTTTCTACTCACATTGGGAGTGTATCTAAAAGTCGAGGGTCGAGAGTCGAGAGTAAAGGTCGAGAGTCGAGAGTAAAGGTCGAGAGTCGAGAGTCGAGAGTAAAAGTCGAGAGTCGAGAGTAAAAAGTCGAGAGTCGAGAGTAAAAAGTCGAGAGTCGATCGAGAGTAAAAAGTCGAGAGTCGGCAAACGTCATCAGAAACAAAGTCAAAATATTTTTATTTTTTAACCACGTTTAACACTATATATATAGCTTTACATAGCCATTCCGTAACAAGTACCAACGGCTGAAATACAAACTTTCCAATAAATATTGCTACAACAGTCAATAATCACTGGCGGAAATTCACTTTTTCCGGTGTGGGGGGGGGGGCAAAGCCTCCTAAATTTCCGACAAAACTTTGAAATTTCCGACGTACCCCCCCCCCCCAATTTGCACTCGAAAAGACTGTTTTTAGCCCACTTTTAGAGGGTCTGTCTGAATGGGGTTAACTGACTACTGACATTTGGCTGAATTTTTGACTGACAACTGACAAAATATCCTAACTGACAACTGAGAAATGATGAAAAAGTGATGAGTCAGCATTTTGCAGTAACTGACTACTGACAGCTTGCAATATATCGCACTGACAACTGACAACTGGCTTAAATTTTAGCTGACAACTGACACCCAAAGACCCCCATTAAGACCCTCCTTTTAGATCAAAATTTCCGAAAATTCGTCAATTTTCCGGAAGGTGGGGGGGGGGGGCGGCCCACCAAGATTTCCGCCAACGTCAATAATAATAACGTGATAACAAAAACAAAAAAGATTGTATAAGAAAATAATATCGCATTTGATGCCTCAATCTTGCTAAATGTTTTCACATGTCATTTCATTCTAACTGACATGCACATAAACTCCGCTGAATTTTGACAGCCATCTCCAGGCTTGTAACTAAAATGTCACTTATTCATTAACGTACGTTTATATCAAACGAGAGCGTATTAAGAAATCCACGTTGATCACAATCTAACGATTTATACAATTGTGAATTCATAAATACGAGCCAGTAAAAATAGGATTCTTTTGTCGTATGTGCGACTCTATCGGGTGGTAATATGTCTCGCACGTAATTGTAAAGTCCTAGTATTTATATGTAGCTTCACATATGAGTAATTTTTCGCGGAAATAGGTGCATGTAAAGCGGGAAGGATGGACAGTAATATATAAGGAAGCGATAAAACTAGTTATTAGATAATAGTTATTTGATTATTGAATGTTGTGGCTAAATTTTTGCGAAAGTTTTTGTTTTATATTGTACTGGATTATTCCTTTGATTGCATGTATATGCCTCTTGTTTACTTTAATTTCGAGAATTTGAGCATACTAAATTATGTTTCGCAAATATTGTTTGCTTTATGTTCCGATACACAGGGAATGAAAGGTTCAGCCGTCATAGGCGTACGGGCGGGAAAAAACAGGGAGCCAGAAAGAAATTTACCCGACTTTTACCCACTGAATAAAATTTTCCGTGTAACTAAATTTCCAAAATTGTCGTTGGGAAGTAGACAAAATATTTTCCTATTTGTCGATTCCTCGTTACTTTTACATATTTCTGGTATTTTCAAATACCATATTGCATATACTGTCTTCTTTTTAAATTTATTTCCCCCAATTTTTGGCCGAATTTATTTTGACTGGGGTGCGGGACTGCCTCCCCCCTCGCCCGTACGGCTATAATCAGCCGTTGTTGCGGATCGCTTATATATTGTGTTACTGTAAAAGTATTTTGACTTTGTTGTTTCTGATGACATTTGCCGACTCTCGACTTTTTACTCTCGATCGACTCTCGACTTTTTACTCTCGACTCTCGACTTTTTACTCTCGACTCTCGACCTTTACTCTCGACTCTCGACTTTTACTCTCGACTCTCGACTTTTACTCGCGACTCTCGACCTTTACTCTCGACTCTCGACCCTCGACTTTTAGATACACTCCATTAGCGTCGAATGACAGCAGACTGTAATCCCGCGCGGGAGCGGGATGCAGTCTGCGAGCAGACTAGGTAATAATTAACCGTGGTGCAGTGCTTCCATTTTCAAAATAAAAATTCCCCATTTTTGACATCAAAATTTCTCTGAATTCCTTAGATTGTATACATAATTTCCTTGAAATTTCCTTGAAATTTCATTAAGCAGTTTGCAGTGATTTTGTACCAATACAAACTGATATAATTAATTTTAAAGGCACAAAATAGCACAATTTACACAGATGTGGGCTAGGTAAAAAACACAGGCTATTATACTGTTTAAAATTAAATATTTGTTATGATTTTACAACATATACGCAGGCCTGAAGCTACGGGGGGTTGTGGGGGGGGGTGACACTCCAGAAATTGTATTCGATCAGTCGGCAGGACTGCTATTCACTCGGTAGGACTGCTATTCACTCGGTAGAACTGATATTTGGGTTAAATATTTTCGCGCAAAGGGCAAGATAGGAGTCGGAATTTTAGAAAATTTTTTTGGAAAAATGGAGAAAATTTGTGATGTCTGCAAAATTTTGGTATGTCCGGAAAAATTTTTGGATCCCTAAAATGGTACACTGACCGAAATTATTTTGGCGACGGGGGGGGAGGTCGCCAAAAATAATTTGTTCCAGAAAAAAAATTTTCGGCACTAGTCGGTTGAAATGACCTTACACCCCCCTGAAAAATTATCTGAAGACGGGCCTGCATATACGATTCCACTGATATAATTAACTAACTATTCACAGTGTTTGGTGCCAAAGGTACTAAATCCCATCGCTCAAAAACGAAGAAAAACTTATAAACAGATTTTTAATTAAAGGGGAAGTCAAGTCCGTAATGTAAACAAACGGTTTGTTTACATTTTGAACTGCTGTATTTTTTAAAATATGATGTACTGTCTGAATATCTAACACCATTTTGGTTTGCTATGCTTCTAAATGAATATGAAATAAAGTTTATGTTCAGAAAAATTCGAAAAAATTTGAAATTTGGGCAATTTTCACATTAGAGGTCCTCACATTGTTATGCGCAGAACCGATGCGCAGAATGGACTTGACTTCCCCTTTAACATAATTGATAAATAATGATAATTCACTCAAAAATGTAAAAAATAGTGAAACCTTCTTCTGCACCAATGCACTGGGATGAATATTTAAGTTTTTCAGAAAAAATCCTTAGATTTCCTTAGATTTTTTCTCTTCCTTAGATTTTCCTTTTGGACCATAGAATTTCCTTAGAAAAGGAAATTTCCTTGAAAATGGAAGCACTGCCGTGGTGTAAGCGGTGTTCTGTTTATTAATACCGTTATTAATATGTCACAAATATGTCACACGTGTTGATTCTAATCACGTTCTAATTGACAATCGCTCACTTGATCACTGTTATTGTGAGTGCTTTTATTCGCGTTTTAAGCGACGAAATTGGTATAACAGCGCATTTTTCTTGAACGTTTACAAAATACAGTAAGTAAACCATTTATTTTATCGTTTCTTATGTTTTAAAGCGTCGCTTGTAGTGCATTTTTGCTCCTTGAATTAATGATAATCGGGAATGCACGTTGGCGCCATTTGTACATTTCAACTTACTACTTTTTTGCTGACACTGTACTCGAATATAATGTGCTTTGAATATTGGTCAGTATTATACTGTAGCAATGTTTCTAACTGCATGAAAAATGGCGTTTATTTGTACCGTTGAATGCGTACTTTCGTTTTTAGTGTATAATTAACGGTGGGGGGCCCGCTTACTGAACCGCTACTTTGTAAACAATATTCTTCGTGCTTTCCTCTATTTTTCCTTTTATGCCATTTCGTCTTTGACTGTTTTACACTATTAAACAACTTTCGTTGGTTGTACATTGTACACTAGTGCCGATAAACCTGCATCTAAATCGTTAATGACAATACACTTCTAAAGGTTCGAATAATGCAAATCATTAAAAATTTGCACAGCGTTAATAATATAGCTTTGCCACTGGCTGATTGTAGCAGAAATTGCTAGTGGGTTTACAAAGTGGTAAGTTCCAATTTGTCTGAATGTTGTCTGTGTGTTGTTGACTGCAAATCTTCAACATTCCTTTGAACATAATTTGCACTTTTGTCCCAATGGCCTCGTTGTACAGTGTGTCCCAAAACTTGGGTAGCCTTTTTTTTTGGGACACACTGTATCCCCATGTTTTGTGCATGTTACTAGTATCTTTAGCCATCCACTGCTCACCACCACCCCCCTCCCCTCTTGCATTTAGGCTTTTCATTGAAACATAAAAATACAGCATTCTGCACCAAGGTACTGTTATTCTGTTCTGAGAATAATTACCCAAACATGTACAAGGAATTTTCACCAATTGATATGGCCGGTTGAATTTACCTCTGCATAAATTATTAATGAAGCAACATAATATGCTATAATTTACAATCTTTTAAGATTATTTAATTAAAATTTTATTCTCAAGTTCACAATGGACAACATCACATTTACAAATGGACCTTCCACTGGGTGAGTGTCTATACTTGTCTAAAGGCCTGATTCCACGAGCGCTTTTTCTCAGCGAAATGCGGATTATTTCGCCTGTTTCTTTTCAATTGCAACCACTTGAATAAATTATTTATACTTGATTGCTCACAATTAAAAAGAAACAGGCGAAATATTTCGCATTTCGCCGAGAAAAAGCGCCCGTGGAATCAGGCCTTTACTTATTCTTTCCCTTACAAAAAAATCCAATTGGAATTCCAGTAGGCAGGGCGGGTGCTAAATGTGGGGAAGGGGTATAACACCCTAGTCGGGTAGTCGGCAAAATATTGAATCTCAGTTAGCGAAATATGGATCTGGATACAAAGAGAAAAAATAAAATTGGTCATTCCAGAAAACATTCATACCTGCACCCCAACGGAGGAAATTGGAAGTACTTTACCCTCCTACCCCCTTCGGATGTCCTATACATTTACTATTATCATTTGTCTCCCCTCCCCCTCCGGACAGCAGAAATTTCCTCCATGGGAGGAGTGTGGATTTTTTCTGGAACGACCCAGTATTGGAGTGACACTCATTAAAAATGATAGCTGAAGGAGGAGAAATTAATTTGCGAAAAAATGAGGGGAAAATGGAATGAGGACTGATAGTTAAATACAAAATAAGATTGAGATAATTATGTTTTCCAGAAAAAAGTTTGATGTAATGTACTGTTGCCGCTACCACCCCCACCTCTCCTTGGCAATTTTGGGAAACACAATATTAATTAGTGGTTGCAGTGACTCGGCCAAATTTGCATTGATTAGTCAGCAAAATTTTATACCCTGGTTCCAGAGGTTTAAAATAAACCTCTGGTTGAAAGCGGCAACTGATTCATCGAGCCGCGCCAATCAGTTTGAATTAGGGTCAGATCCTGACTTTGTCTCCTGATTGGATAATTGTATTAAAGCTCTCTGATTGGTTATAGATGTTTTATTTGAATCAATCAGAGAGCTTAAATACCGTCATCCAATCAGGAGACAGAGTCAGGATCTGACCCTAATTATTCAAACTGATTGGTGCGGCGTGATGAATCAATTGCCGCTTTCAACCAGAGGTTTATTTTTCCTCTCCCCTTCGCAATGAAAATAATAAAAATAAACCTCTGGAACCAGGGTAGCAAAATTCACTTACACACAACCACTACTCCCCTAAGCGTAGTGCCCTTTTTCCGGGAGCAAAGTGCCCTTTTTTTGTGTTAAAAATGTTTTAAGGATTGCCTTTTTTTGCCCAAAGCGCACTTTTCGAAACTTGAATTTATGTTATTTTCCGGAATATTGTTTTTCATTTCCGGAAAAAATATGACATGTCCGAAAAATTTTTTTGTATTTCCGGAACATTTTTTTCATATTTAGGAAAATTGGATATATCCGGAAAAAAATATTTTTAGATGGCCTTTTTTATTTGTCAAGTGCCCTCAAAGCCTGGCACCACCCCCCCCCCCAATTTTTAGAAGCTTCCTACGCCCCTGGACGAATGTTTTGATTGTTGCGAGGTGCCTACATGATGTCGTGGTGTTTATACTAGAATGTTGTTAAAAGTTAACTAACTCTCGAGTAATGATACGGTAATTGGGGGCTTGAGTGGTCTCATAAGTTGGTGCAGGGGAAAGACACCTCATTCAGGCATTTTCTGAACTGCCACCACGTCATGTCGGCTCCTCGCAACAATGTCAACAATCGAAACATTCGTTCCCCTGAAGATCCAAGCCAATCTGGTCATTTTGAATGTTTTCACAAGGGTGATGAGCAGAGGCTAGAAACATGGTAGCAGGATTAGGCTGATATCAAAAGCGGCAAGGAGTCAGACTGCAATAAGTACACAATAAAATTATACTAGAATACTTTATAGTAGTGTAATTTTCAGTTTGCATCATCAACCTGCAAAATTCCTGTCAACCTGCAAAATTCCAACCTGCAAAATCCCCAACCTGCAAAATTCCAACCTGCAACCTGCAACCTGCATTTTGTACCTCACCGTGTAAATTGGCCCAATTTTAATAATTCCAAATTGCATTTTTTATGTCAGTTTTTATGCAGTACTTAAATTACTGTGAAATGTTTAATGAAATGCATGTACTTTTTTTAAAGTGTTGAGTGTGATGTGGACCAAAAATATTTACCTCACCTCCTTTTGATACCTGCTGTAAGTTTTATTGACATGTTATTTAATTTTGTTTCTTTGATACTATTTATACTTTAACCTGAACGAGAAAATTCAACTCAGTGTTAATGGACATGCAGAGTAAAATAAAGGAGCATTATATGTGACTTGAGGACCTAATATATTTGAATTTTCATTATTTTACTCTGTCGATTCTTCACACCAATTATGACTTAAATTTATACTCAATTACCTGTCTAATTTATGAATTGTCTAAATTCACGCCTGACAAAAATGCATACCAAAGCGCCAATATGCTTCAAGTTCTTTAATTTTCACGGCGGGTCTAAAACAAAGGTCGGATGTCGCAGGTCACAGCTGTGTCTAAAAAACATGCCTGTTCGCAGCTATAGGTCACAGAGAATATAGTGTATCGCAATGACAATTCCTATTATAGACTAATTCTAGGCAAGGATATGCAAATAAATTACTATACAGCTAGAAAGAGCATACTAAAATGAGTAAAATTGCAAAGTTTGGTTGCAAAATGTTGTAAAATGCATAAGAAATAGACTTGCAAATTTTGTATGCTTTTGTATCGTGTGCGGAAAATTATACAAAATTTGCGAATTTTGCAAGGCTATATTTTCCGCATTATACAACATTTTGCAACCAAACTTTGCAATTTTACTAATTTTAGTATACTCTTTCTAGCTATAGCGATTTATTTGTGCCTAGAATTAGTCTATAATAGGAATTGTCTATTGCGATACACTATTCTGTGCGACCCGCGATCAGGCATGTTTTGTAGACGCAGCTCTGTCAGGGCTGTAGGACGCTCTTTTTGATTGTGGGAGCTGAAAGCGGGGGCCGAAGGCCCGAGGAAATTTTTAAATTTAGTGTCTCTGAAATGCCATTTCCTGGACTTTGGGGGAAGATTTGACAGATTTCTGATGGTCAAAAAACAGCATTTTAGTACGTAGAAATTTACAATTCAGCAGTACTAAATGGGCAAAGCTGTATTTAATTAACTATATATTGGTTA